TGCCGACCGGCCCAGGGAACGCAGTGACTACACCGTACACGCCTGCGGGGACTTCCCACATTTGCTGATCTTCCCAGCATATGCATGTTGAATCTCAGGGATAATAAGACCTGATAGCGGATGGTCCGCACCTGTGTTCCACAGTCCTTGGTCCGGGAATATCAACAGGACGCCCGTTCGATTCGAGGTTGGGTCATGCTTCTTCCCGATGATTGGTTTTAATTTTTGTTGCCGTCTCTCCATTAAATCCGACTTACCCTGGGTCAACTCGATAGAAATGCAGACCTGATTGCGGATGGCCCGCCCCTGTGCTAAATTACGCGCGCCCTGTAGTACCCACAGGCCACCCGTTCGATTCGGGGTCAGATTATCAGTTGAATGCAAATCGGTGTTCTTTTTCTGCTGCTGGCATTTCTTCTTGCAAATAGATTCGTTTTGTCCAGTCTCTCCATTAAACCCGACGTAGGCTGGGTAAAATTGATAGAAATGCAGACCTACTAGTAGTGGCGGACGGCCTCCCCTCTCCTAAATTACGCGCGCTGCGGCGGTGGTACACACAGGACTCCCGTTCGACTCGGGGTCAGGTCATGATTTGAATGCACATCGGTATTCCTTTCTGCCGCAGGGATCTCCCTAACATATGCATGTTGGCATTCCAGGGATAATAAGACCCGATAGCGGATGGCCCGCACCTGTGTTTCATAACTGGGTTGGTTGGCAAGTTCATGCAGGACACCCGTTCGATTCGGGCTCGGGTCTTTACTGGTTGCGAGTGTTTCTTTTTGCACCTTCAAAATTCACCCGGTCCAGTTCGCATGTAAAACCCTCTGATGGACTGTCCGAGTTCGGACATACCATATGGCCTTTCCGCATGGCGCGGGAATCCCAATGCAGCCCCTCCTTCGCGCGCGCGCTGATACCACACGCCTGCGGAGGCTAGTACATACTTCCCAAATTTGCCGAAATTCCTCCAGAACATATTTCGACCTCGCCACGCAGAGCACCCGTTCGATTTGGGGCGATTAGTGTGAATGGGTTTCTTTTTCCAACCCGACCTGCTTTTCAACCTATCCACTAAGCCCAAGCTCAGGCCAAGGGGAAGCAAGACCCGATGGCGGACGCTCCGCACCTGCGATCAGTCAACATTCCCGGGTGGATTTCATGTGGGACGCCCGTTCGATTCGGGGTCGGGTCATGCAGGATCCAGTTTGAACGAGTTGTTTTTTATTCTGCCGCTGCCAACTCCAAAACTCGTTCATCTGGAGTTATTTATCACGGTGTAGAGTGATTTATTTATCATGGCCCCGCACATCAAGTCCGTTCCTTGCCCGCGTTCGCAAGTTCCAGTATCCGGTTTTTCGCTCGAGCCGCAAGGAAATCCCCGAAGGCTTAGACTGGTCCACCAGCTGACATAAATAAGCTGCCTATTTATCCGAGGCTTCGTGAAGATACGGTACCCATCCGCGATGTGCTCGAATCCTGCACCTATTTGAGGCCCGCAGGAAATATTACTGGATCCAAATTGCCGAGCAACCTCGTGCGCTGCGGCGGGGATGGAGAAGGCCTCAGTGCGCGCTGCGAGCAGGTTGAGGTGTGGAGGAGTTCCCGGAAGAGTGTGAGAGCACCGAACAGCGACGAGTTACAGCGTTGCTTGAGCCTTGAATAGCCTCGAAATCTCACCACCGAGAATGATTTGAACAAAACTCGACTGAAGGAAAGCGTTCCACTGGGATACATATACCTCACATTCACATTAAATCCCAAGACTTAAACACGTCAGCCAGCGTCCAAGAGACGCGTCGCAAACACCAAGCAAACACGGCAAGACGCGCTCTGTGACCACACGTGATTGCGTGGGATATAATAAACAAAGTGTGACACTCACGCCTCTTACAGTCATGTTCCAATTCCCGACGACCCCGCTATCCTCGCACAAGCTCCACCCCTCGCCCAGCTACCCGTCCTACAAGCCGACGAACTCCTCCCCGCTCGCCGCGACCAACAGCAGCCCCGGCTCGTCCCCCATCGCCGCCGTCCAGGCGCGCCGCCGCTCGCAGTACAAGGCGCAGCCGGTGGCATCCACGTCGTCCGCGAGCGGCCGGAGCGCGCGGCACCCCCCGCGCCTTGCAGGCCTACAGTTCGGCGGCGGCGAGGCGAACGACGACGCGCAGAAGGCGTTCTTGCGCACGCGTTTGAAGCTGCGGTGCGTCGAGCGCGCGTCGAAGGCGCGCGAGCGTGCGGTGAAGAAGAAGCGGTTTATGGGCAGCAGCGAGGCGGGAAGCGACGATATGGATATGGACGCTCCCATGGACCGGGGCGAGGACGACGACGAGGAGGCGGAGGACCCGATGTTTGACGAAGTGCGTTTGCGTTCTTGCTATCTTCATTTGGGGAGTGACGAGCGCTGACGACGCACGCAGCTCTTCAGCCGCATCATGCGGAACGCGGAGCGCAAGACGCAGCACGCGTACCTGTACTCGTACGACCGCGAGGTCGGCTCCGACCCCGCCATCGACGACGCGACCTGGGAGACTGAGTTGGGCGAGTCTTCTTTCCTCTTCCCTCTTCTTTCGTCCCCCCTTCTTCCCACCCGCCCTACTCCACACTAACCGACCCTCTCCCCCTTTTAGCCGCTCAAGACGAAGCCGCCGCTGAAGATGACGACGCGGCGCTGGAGGCGTACCTCGCGGAGCAGGCCGCCTTCGCCGACTTTGCGGACATCCCTGCGGACGAGCTGTTCAGCTGGAGCGACCTCGACGAGGAGCTGCTTTCTGGTGGGGGCGGCGGGGACGTGGAGATGAGCTAGCGCGCTAGCGCGGCGGAGCGACTCGCGTAGACATGAGCTCCCGATGCGGACATGAGCTACGCCACACCACCCACATACCATCGCACCGCACCATGCTGTACTCATATTACTGTATTCTCTATTATTATAGCTGCAATTGCTAGCGGTTTTTCTTGTTCCCTGGTGCTTGCCACTCACTTGGCATGTTGTTCCCTCCGTATGACTCCAGCGGAGCCGCAATTCATGACTCGGACTCTCCCGCTCAGTGCGACATTACATTAATCTCGTTTCTCTGTATCCGGCTGCGGCGCGTCATTTGTCCCACCGATCTCGGCGTGTTCCACCGGTCCGAATTTTGCTTAGTACGCGGCACTCCTGCTGTCTGCATCCAATCGCGAGTCGACTTCGGAGGCCGGGAGCCTTGCATCTGTTGAACCTTTCCAGGTGCACCTTCTCAAGGGGTCTCTTCCCGCCGCGCCAAAAAGAATGGGGTTCTTACACCAAATGCACCAGCGGGGAATCGAACCCCGTTCCGCCGTCGACGGAATGATCATGAGTGTACATGGTCGGCGCGTGTTCCATACATCACCGGTGCTCCGCTGGCTGCATTCTGAACCGTTTTGAATGCTAATCTCGTTACGTTCCATTCCTGCTGCCTGCATTGCGCGAGTCGCCGGAAGAATACGAAACCACCTTGTCTGTCAATGTTGAATATTTCTAGGTGCATCTGTTGAGTATTTCTAGGCAAATATGGCTCCGCCAAAAAGAAGTATGAGCAAATGTTAAGCACCAGCGGGGAAATCGAACCCCGTTCCGCCGTCGAAGTGACAGACGAACAGTGTACATGGGCGGCGTGTGTTCCATACACTACCGGTGCTCCTCTGGCTTCATTCTGAACCGTGCTGAGTATTATAATTAATCTTGGTATGTTCCACTCCTGCTGGCTACATTGCGGGAGTCGCCGGAAGAAGAAACCACCTTGTCTGCGAATCTTTCTAGGTGCATATGTTGAATCTTTTCATTGTCGAGTATGGGTATCTTCCCGCCGCGCCAAAAAGAATGAGGTTCGTACACCAAATGCACCAGCGAGGAATCGAACCCCGTTCCGCCACGGTAGACCGGCCCGATGATCAGCTTATATGGGCGGCGCGTGTTCCATGCACTACGGTGCTCATCTGACTTCATTCTGAACCGTGCCAAGTTCCACTCTTGATGTCTGCATTCGAGCCCGAGTCGCTTCGGAGGCTGGAAGAATACGAAACCGCCTTGGCTGTTGAATCTTTATATGGGGTGTCCTCACGCGCCAAAAAGACGATTGCAAGCCCAATACCAAATGCACCGCGGGAAATATTAATCGAACCCGTTCCGCCGTCGAAGTGACATACGAACATGTCAGCATGGGCGGCGTGTGTTCCATACACCGCCGGTGCTCCTCTGGCTTCATTCTGACTCTTGCGCAGTATACTACACTCCTGCTGCATTCAAGCGCGAGGCCGCTTGTCTGCTGAATCTTTTGGTATATCTGTTGAATCTTTCTAGGCATACCTCAATCTTGGCAAGGGGCGTCTTTCCGCCGCGCCAAAAAGACGAGTGCAAGCCGCCCAAAATGACATGCACCAGCGGGGAATCGAACCCCGTTCTGCCGTCGACGAAACTATTGTCAGTCGACATGGTCGGCGCGTGTTCCATACATCACCAGTGCTCCGCTGGCTGCATTCTGAACCGTTCTGAATGCTAATCTCGTTACGTTCCATTCCTGCTGCCCGCATTGCGCGAGTCGCCGGAAGAATACGAAACCACCTTGTCTGTCAATGTTGAATCTTGTAATTGTCGAGTATGGGTATCTTCCCGCGGCGCCAAAAAAATGAAAGCCTCAGATGTTATGCACCAGCGGGGAATCGAACTTCGTTCCGCCGTCAACCACATTTTATCTCATAATCATTACATGGTCGGCGCGTGGTTCACACACAACCGGTGCTCATCTACTTAGCTTCATTCTGAACCGTTCTGAATATTATAATTAACCTTTTTATGTTCCATCCTGTTGCCTGCATTCAAGCGAGTCGACTTGAGAGGTGGGAGGAATTCGATGTTGAATTTTTCTAGGTGCATCTGTTGAATCTTTCTAGGTGGACCTGTTCAATCTTGTAATTTTCGAGTATGAGTATCTTCCCGCCCTGCCAGAGTCAAAAAAGCAGGATTGTCCGAAATGTAATACACCAGCGGGGAATCGAACCCCGTTCCGCCGTCGACCGCAGCGGCGACAGTAATATGGGCGGCGCGTGTTATACACCACTGGTGCTCCTCTCACTGCATTCTGAACCGGTATAATTCATCTTGCTAGGTTCCACTTCTGTTGCCTGCATTGCGCGAGTCGCCGGAAGAATCCGAAACCACCTTGTCTGTTTAATCTTTGGCTTCATCCTTAATCTTGCGTAGTATCTTGCATTCCTGCTGCTGCAGATAGTGATGCGCAGGTCCCGGCTCGGCCCGGAAGTCCAGGCTTGAGCTTGGCTTGAGTCGGCCTGGGCTTGAGTCATCCCAGGCGCCCTCAGGTAGGGCGTTGCATCCGAGAGCGTATCGGCGCGTGTTACTTATGCGAACAACACTGCCTTCGCTGTTTAACCTGTCATTGTGGGGCAAAATAATCCTAGACAATCCTCGATCGCCGTGGTTTTCACAAGTATTCTTGAAGAATTCTGCGGACCCGGGACCGACACCCGACATCACGATTTGATCGCGTCAATGTGACTCACGTGGTTCACGGGCTTCCAAGTCTTCCTACCATGTCCATGCAGGTGGGTGCCGCTCTTTTAGTGTGTCCTTGCCAATTCAAAATCGCAACAGACAATCACTCAAGTTTCTGTCAATGAGAGCATTGTCCTCGGGCCGAGTTCCGAATTGAAGGTGCGCGGAACCCAAAGTGCGCTGCGCCCTGATACATACGATGCTGTCACCAGGGATTCCCCGCTGCCTGGCTCAAACGCGCGGACGAAAATCATGTCATCGAACGTGTACACTGGAACACAGTCCCCGAACCAGAGTGCAATCAGCTCCACGCGCACTATTCTGTGAATTGGAACGAGTTCTACAACATTTACCTCTTCTGTCCCCAGAGGTACGGCATCGAAGTCGGTGGCCTCATCGTGCGCCACTACTTTGGCGTCAAGGGATGCATAATCCCCGTGGGCTTCATTCCCCAGATCGCCGAGTGCATGTTCGCCTTCACACTTGCTGGCCCGTGCACTCCCGACGGGAGAAAGGAGTTCTACCTCCTGTTTTATGAGACGGGGTTGGAGACAGTGTCTCTTCGGCGCTACAGTCCCGGATTCTCCAGCGTCGAAGCCTTTCATCTCCACTACTCCACCAAGCACACGGCCGTTGCCCCCGTCATAGGCAATGAAGAGATGGTCGCTATGTTTCAGAGTTTTGGCGTGTACGCCAAGCCCGTCAAGGAAGTAGAGTCGGCCGACTGGTAGGGTGCGGTCCCGTGGATCTGTAGATTTTGAACTTGCAAAATGAATGTTGTGCGTTCTTTGCCGATTGTTGTTGCAGGCTTCAGTGTTTAGTCGAAGTGGCCTCGATGAACTTGTTCTCAGAATCCTAGGATGCGACCTTGAGGATTCTAGCGGTAAAGAGGACCCCGCAAGAAGACGACCCAGGCGTGGCACTGGGCCGCCCAGCCGAGCCTTGAACGCGCATGGATACCGCGAATTCAGAACACTGTCTTTGGAGCCAGTCCCAGATTTACACGATGGCAAGCTGGTTCATCGGGAACTGGGTCAGGTCGAGAACGGACACAACGGAGCCGTAATGAGACCAAAAATGCAACGAAACCGACGCGCGGGCTTATCCCCATCTCCCTCCAAGACTCAAGTTCTCCCCATCTCTCCACTTTATGGCCTCCTTCCACCTCTTCATGTTAAGGGGTATCGCGTCACAGTTGCTTCCGTCAGCCTCTCGATTCGACACCGCGATGGATTCGACGGTCCGGGAGATTATGTGTGGTGTTGAGGGATATTTGTTGTCAATGTTTTGCAGAAGAAGAGGCCCCGGGGGCGGATAACCTCGTGCTCCCTTTTCGTGGGCCCCGGAATTAAGGGAAGCGTCCTGGCGCGACCTGAACTTAACACGCGAAATGGTTCCATACTGTACTTGTATTGAATTCATTTGCGGTTTGTGGATTGGCGCCAGAGCTGAACGTAGAACATCGAGCCTGGGACCGAACCTTAGTTGAATTGCGGAGGTACGACGTAAATGATGCATTCTTCGGTATTCTAAAGTCGATAGGGGTGAAGGAATAGTAACTACGCTTTCAAGTGAGGGATTACAACCTTGCGACCAATAATTTCAAAGGCTCGAAGCTCATCAATAACCTTGTTGACATTTTCCAACGGCTCAGCGTGGACGTGGCCAATAACGATTCCCTGGGTAGTTTGATAAGAATGGAGCCAACGAGCACATCGTTAACATACTTTGGCAAAAAGATCCAACACGGTTACAAGTGTACTACGCGGTCCATATGTGCTCCCCAGAACTGCGAAGGTTGAAGTGAGATTCAACTTAAACAATAAGTGCATCAGAAGAGCTGACTTTGTACACCGCTGCCGATTATGTCCAGGGTGTTGAAGACAAGGTTTTCAGCACTGGCACCAACCTACGATGGCACATTAGCGGTCCACGGACAGTTGACGTCGGTTTTGAAACCCACCAGGACACATTTGGGTCTGCTAGGGAAATTCACATCATTCCCTCTCAAAGCGCCCATAGCGAAGTTGAAAGCTTTAGATTAAATCTAAGCAGTTACTCCTAAACTAGAAGAGAGACCACTCACTTTGATTGTTAGCAATGAAGTCAATTGTAGTATCTACTGTGAATCCTGCAGTGTTCTTGTTGCTCAATTCGATGAGATCAAACGCCTCTGTAGCACCGAGCTCCAAAGCCAACTTGCGAGCAGCAGGTTTGAAATCGCAGGCGTAAACTGAAGAGCGATGAGGGCTAAATAGATGAGATCGAATTTAAACTCACCAGTTGCGCCGAGGTGTTTAGCGTATTGAACAGCCAGATGACCCAACCCACCGATTCCGAAAATCAATACCCTGTCGCCGGGCCTGACCTGAAATAGGACCAAGAATAAGACTCTATCAGGGAAGTTTATTCGTTGGAGATTTGGATCTGGACCTTTGCTGCATCTTGAACTGCATGGTAGGCGGTCACACCGGCGTCGCTGGCGATGGCAGCCACTTCCGGAGAAACTCCGTTTGGCTGTCGCAGTCAGGAATCAAGAGCCAATAGGTATCAAAGAAACTCTGGATTCACTTACCACGGGAACTAGTTTGTCGGCAGTGGTGATAAGGTACTCGGCATATCCACCATCTTTCCCAATGCCAAGGGTATTGAAAACGGCGGTACCACCGTTCAATCCGTGGACGCAGCCATCCAGTGCGAGGATGGAATACAATTTTCCCAGGTGAACAGTATGGCTGTCGACTTTGACACCCAACCTATTTAACAATAAGAACACTCCTCGAAGAGTAGTGGAGGACTAACTTGACCGGAATAACACAAGCTTCGTGGCCAAAGATATACTTTCTCGTATCTAGTCCCACACCGCTCAGAAGCGCCACGTCGGTGTGGCATACTGGGCAATAGTAAATACAAACCCGATAATCAAGGGCAAGTCTCCGACGTACCTCCAGCGGCAGCAACTTTGAGCAAAATCTCATCGTCCTTCAAGTCACGAATCGGATAATTCTTGTCGAGTACGAGGCGTTCATTTCCAGCCTCATAAACGGCGGCGAGCATAGTCTTTGGCGTCATGTTGAATAGAAAGTGGGAGTGATGAACAAATATGAGGAATGGGGAGCTCACTACCTGAGGTCGGCTAATTTATACCTGGAATGGGAGCACGGATGGGCCAATCAATTTTAACGGAAACGCCGAGGAAGCCCGTAGAATGTAGACGGAAGAAAGAACACTGCGGCGAGAACAGGCCATGGCCCATGCGGAAAGCCAGTCCGAGCTAGAAAACAGCAGAGCCGATAATCGGAATATCGCAGGCTTGCGCTCAGTGTGCAGGTCCGCTGTTCTCGGGATGTACAAGGGTGGAATATAGGAGAGTGGGGAATAAAAATGTAGCCAAAGAGTGTTCCATTATGTTGGGCTGCATTATCCAAGGAGAGTATACCAATGGAATTAATACTCCGGTCAAATGAATCATTCCTTTCATCCCTGTCCTAGCGATGCCGCCGTATGGCTCACATGGCCAGTCCAAGGCACCGAACCCGATGTCTTCGGTAAAATAAATACGTCCGCATTGCGAGCAGGTGGTCGGAATTAATAATATATTTCGGAACAGCGCAGAGGGGCAGTGACTCCGCCGAAAACGTCGCCAAGTAAGAACCCCGTAGGTCCACATTGTAAAAACTCGACACTTCTTCCATTGATCCAAGTCCGAGCAAATTCAGGAAAAACCGAGGTGGAAATTGACGCAAGCTGAAGACTCTAATATGCAACTGATAAGTATGTAAGACTCAACTTCATATGGGTGGCGCGTGTTCCATACACCACCAGTGCTCCAAGCTTCATTTCTGAACCGTTCTGAATATTATAATTGATCTTGCTACATTCCATTCCGGCTGCCTGCATTGCAGGAGTCGCCGGAAGAATACGAAACCACCTTGTCTGTTGAATCTTTCTAGGTGTCCCTGTTGAATCTTGTCATTGTCAAGTATGGGTATCTTCCCGCCGCGCCAAAAAAATTATTCCCAGATGGTATGCACCAGCGGGGAGTTCCGCCGCAAGTATGAATGAAGCAAAGGCCGGCGTACATTGTCGGTGTGTGTTCCATGCACCACTGGTGCTCCTCCGGCTTCATTCTGAACTGATATTTGCTACGTTCCACTCCTGCGGTACGTAAGTCTGGGTCGACGCGGAAGCCAGAAGAATTCCAACCACTTTTTCTGTTGAATCTTTCTAGCCGCACCTTGTCAAGGGGTGTGTTGCTGCCCCGCCAAAAAGAAGCATTGCCAGATGTTATGCACCAGCGGGGAATCGAGCCCTGTTCCGCCGCAAGTATCAGTAAACGGCGTGTTCCATACACTACTGGTGCTCCAGCCATTTCATTCTGAGCCGTTCTGAATGTTAATCTGGCTAGGCTCCACCCCTGCTGCCTGCATTCAAACTCGGAGGCCGGAAGAATTCGTGTCTGTTGAATCTTTCTAGATGCACCTGTTAAACCTTGTCAAGTATGGGTGTGTTTTTGCCCCGCCAAACAGAATAATCCCAAGGAGGAAATGCATCGGAAGAGTGTGGCCCGAATCAGGAGGCACGATTTCGATGAGCGAAAATTAACTACAGCAGGGAACCATGTATATCTACTTCATATAGTGGCAAAGATCTTCTGCCAGTGATTATCTGCTGTGCAATCAGATGAGGTTTCATCATCGCCCTTGGAAGGCGGGTCATCATCACACAACCCTGGTGTATTAAACAGAGCAGAGCCCGAAGGATAAGCAGTGTCAAGTGCCAGCCAGATCTGATACCTGGAGAGAGCAGCCTTAATAAGACTAGGGTCCAAAAGTGAAGCTCGAACATAGTGGGGGGGAAGTAAAGTCTAATCTGACATGTTTCGCTCCCATTCAGTGTTTTTGCCGAGGTCAACCCCAGAACTAAAAACTCATTACAAAGTCTAGGAAGGTCTCAAATACTTTAGGGTGCTTAGGGTGCTTAATTACCCTGCATTGCATACAGCTCATCTACCCTGCTGGAACAATTATTGTTGCTGCTCCAAGTTACTTCCTACAACATTCTACTAGTATCTGCATATGGGACTGGTGCTACAGATCAACTTGTTTGACCCTGCCAATTTTTTAGGTTCCAAGTAGTCTCTTATAAACAGATGCTATAACAATTCTCAACTCGTACCTCGTTTGTTATAGTCTGTCAGTAAGGTTGATGGAGTGATCGGCCGCGCCGCTATTATGTAATCACTAAAATTTTCGAAACCCAAACACGTCTTGGGGGTGTGTTTTCTTTGCATTTGAGGCTTGGGTCCCACTTACACAGATGAAAAGTCTAACTTGTTCAGCGAGCGTGTGGTGGTAGAATTCCAGAAGCTTGATGCCGAATTTGATGGCTCGGCAAGCGGAAAAGCCGAGAAAATGATTTTGGGTGGAGATGGGCTCGGATTCACAGTTTTTGAGACACAGTTCTCTTGGGAATGAGAATGAAAGAGACTCTCTCTCTTATCGTTTGTACCCAGAGCTATCTGAAGGGCAGAGTGATTGTATGTCAAATTGAAACTCCGACGATTATGTAATAACGGCGCGACCTATACGCGGTGGCGCGGTTAACAACAGACTAGGTTCCAAGCACGAACATAATGCAGTTCATTAAATGGAGAATCATGAAACCCACCAGGCTTGGTATTTGTTTTCACAACTCAATGAACAGTTAGTGGGCTCTGCCGCAAAGCGCGCTACAATTTTTATAGCAGTACAGTAGTACAGTATGTTGCTGACCAAGGCGTCCGGCAAAGCCCGGGATTTGTTTGATGTATTTGCCCGTGCACGTGCACATGCGGCTCTTGCTTTCGACGGTCGGACCATCATCATCATGATTGCATCAGGCTGCCTATCCGCTTCGACTAACTTTCACCGGCCTCTGTGAGCTCTCAGATCTCAGATCTCAGTCCATTACCGTTATCGCTGATTGTCATGAATCCAAGTTATTATCCAACATGAATCGTTTTTTTTATTTTTTAGTAACGGCATATGTATCTATCCCAGGCATATCCACGCAATATCCACGTCTTCTGGCGGGTAGCCACGAGCCTTTCTCGCGCCTGCCAGGTGCGTCGTTGCAGTAGTCCCTTGGACAGGAACCATTGGGAGCCTTGCTGACTGCGTTGACAGACAGTCCCCGCCTTTTACGTCGAATACACCGAACCCCTCCTCGGGGCTGACTTTGGCTAAACCACGAACGTCGACGCCAAGCTCCACTGCACCTGCTTGTTCGCCGAGATGCCGTCCGGTTTCTGGAAGTCCAATCCGGTCTGCCAGTGCTATTATTTGCATCGCCGGACCCTTGCAGCCGGCCACTTGGTCACAATGCCCTTGGCCTTCTTGTACTCACATCTGTCCTATCGCGCTTCCGAATTGCGCCATTTTTTGTGGCTGGGGGTATGTAAGAAGCTCGATTCTAGCGCACCCCTACAGACATGCATCCCCTCACTGTCCTCGTTACTCTCGGATTGTCCTCTACGGTCCTGGGTCAGGGAGCAAACAGCGTACCAAACTCGTTTCCTCATGCATGGCCTGGTGAGCCACAGGGCCCCTTCAGTCCCAAATGGCAAAGCTGTGAGTCAAGTCCTCCCCGAATCTCATTCGCTGGAAACAACACGCGTTTACATGCCTCGGAATGGAAATCTTTAGACTTCGAAGTGACCGAAAGGCTGCCCAATATAACCGGCACGCTTCCGCGCAACTTTGCAGGCAACATTCCCGTGAACCGTGCAGGCCACCCCAATGACACGCTCTTCTTCTGGGCATTCGAGCACGCCGGCAAAAACGGTTCCCTCACCTCCCCCGCAGACGCGAACAACACTGACCCCTGGATCATCTGGCTGCAGGGAGGGTGAGTGTCCTACCTAGGAACCCCTACTAACTAGCTATTTAACTCTTCTCGGATCAGCCCAGGGTCTTCCGGCATGATCGCTCTCACAACGGAGGTACGGGGACACAATCCCTGCGGCGCAGATGCTGAGAGCGAAAACGTTGACAGAATGGGCCAATACATATCCAACCCAACAATAGCTGGTTCATCAACGAGTTCAGCTGGAACACCCTCGCGGACAGCATCTGGGTCGACCAACCCGTTGGTGAGTATTCCATTACTACTCTCCCCAAGATATACACCCGAGGCACTGACTGCTTTTCGATTTACTGCGGTGCAGGCACCGGCTTCTCGACATCGGACTCGACAGGTTACGGTACGCATTCTGCCCTCAGCCTGGCCGTCAACTTTGGCGAATTCGGCCTTGCTTTGAGTATTGCTGTCTCACGCGCTCTTTCGTATTTCGCACAGTGGCGGACGAGGATCAGACAGGAGAGGATTTCGTGCGTTGCAAACATGCGCCCTCTATCTCTGCAGACGCGCGTCTGACCCAACACCTTTTCAGGTCGGCTTCTTATCGAATCTCGTCAAGGTCTTCCCCAGCCTTGCCACCCGACCGTTGTTCCTAGCAGGGGAAAGTTACGCAGGCACATACATTGTAAGTCCGACTGTTGCGAGTGTGCGTGTGTGTTTCCCGCATCACGGACATGGACACACTGCACCGCAAGTGCCCGCCCAGACGAGTACCAACAAACAGGGTGCTGACAAAGGTCCCCACGACAGCCCTACATCACGAAGCACATTTTTCAGACCCCGAACCCGCCGGTGAAGCTGCGTAAAATCACCATAGGAGATGGCTCGCTCGGGTCCGAAGCTACCGTGGAACATCTTCCAATCGTAAGCGCCTAAGTTGAACATCCACTACAAGACTGACAAGCGGTTGTCAACGACTGATAGCTGAACGTTATTGAAACGTACCCTGCACTCATCGCCTATGACCAGCAAGTGTTCGAGTTCTTCCGCGAGCAGTACGTCCTGGTGTCACATATCACCCAGGCCACGCAGGTTGACACTCAAACTTCGCAGGACCCATTTGTGCGGGTTCGACTTGAACCTGACGTACCCCCAAAACGGCCACTTCCCGACGCTAAATCTCACCAGGCCTACTTCGAATTCGGCGCTCAGCGAGTCGCTCCTCAACCCCACCGAAGATCGTGCCAGAACATTGCGCGAGTCGGTTTCCGTCAGATTCGCTGAGGTGCAAGACCGGGACGCCTTTGTACGAGAGATTGGTCATCGGTCTACCGAGCACCAGCAGTGGAAGCGCGACCTGTCCGGGCGCGCAAACGGGACGATCGATCCCTTCTACGGCTGCTTCTTGCTGGATGAACTTGTGGACTATGCGGTCAACTTCACATTCCCCTGGAGTAAGTGCCCTCGGGTCTATCACTGATACGACGCGGCATTCTAACGACCATGGTATTACAGCGAACGGTGAATTCGACGTTTACGATATTCCCGACGCCACGAACCCCGAACCCTTCAAAAATGCGTCCACATTCTTCAACGACAACCGCACACGTGCCGCGCTGCACTCACCCACGTCCAAAGACTGGATCCGCAACTTCAACTACCCTTTCGGCTCTGTGCATAACCGCTCCGTGGGGAATCAGTACGGCGACCCGTCCGTCGAGCCGATCGCGTTCCTCTCCGACCTCGCCACAAACGCGACTGCGAACAATGTCTCCATCGTTTTCTATTCGGGAAACGACGACTCGCTTGTGCAGCACCGAGGGACAGAGGTGATTATCCAAAATATGACATTCGGAGGCACGCAGGGCTTCACGCGTAAGCCGTCCACACCGTGGTTCGACGACGACGGTAATTTTGCCGGGATCGTGCACCAGGAGCGCGGAGTGACCTATCTGCTATTTGATGGAGCGGGCCACCTCGTGCCGATGTGGAAGCCCGCGCAGGCGCTGGTGTTCTTGCGCGAGTTCGTGCTTGGCTCAAACTTGAACGGGACGGTATCGGGGAGCACCGGTACTGTGGTGGGTGGAGAGAATACAACGCTTGCGAACGGCGTTTTGCCGGGGGGAGACGAAATATTCTTCGGGTCTTCGACGACTGCGGGGACGTCGACTATTCCTGCTGCGACTAGGGCTGCATGGGCATCGTTTATCGCGACTGCAACGGCTAGTTCGCCCTTGGGCTCAAACATCAATAACAATACCAACAGCGCGAAGCAGGGGGACGTGAGTTTAGTAGCGGGTGTCATCGCGTGCTTATTGGCGGGTGCGATGCTCTCCTAGTGAATTACTTTCTCTCGTTTTGTACTTATCAATATATCTCCTTTCTTTTGCGGACGCTTGAACCAGCGCTGGCCCCAGTACCGATGTCGTAGCAGCAGCCACCCGAAGCATCCCGATAAGGCAAACACACGACAAATTGGGAGGTTTCGGGGCACCCTGAAACGTTCCTGAACTCTTTAGTTTA